TCTAGCTAAGATCACTGATGAAGGCAGCCACACTAAACAACAGATTTTCAATGGAAGCAAAACAGCCTTATGTTGGAAGAAGATGCCATCTAGGGCTTTCACAGCATTGGCTTCAATGCTTCAGAGGACAGGCTGACTCCTGTGCTAGGAACTAATGCAGCTGGTGACTCAAGCTGAAGCCAATGCTCATTTCTAATTCCCCAAATCCCAGGGCTCTTAAGAATAATGTTACATCTGCTCTGCTTGTGCTCTATCAATGGAGTACAAAGCCTGGGTGACAGCATATCTGTTTACAGAATGGCTTCCTGAATATTTTAAGCTTACTGTTAAGACCTACTGCTCAGATAAAAAAGATTCCTTTCAAAGTACTACTGCTCATTGACAATGTAAGTGGTCATGCAAGAACTCTGATGGAGATATACAAGGAGATTAATGTTGTTTTCATGCCCATGAACACAACATTCATTCCCAGGCCTATGGATCAAGGAATAATTTTGATTTTCAAGTCTTCTTGTTTAAGAAATACATTTCATAAGACTATAGCTGCCATAGAGTGATTTCTCTAATGGATCTGGGCAAAATAAATTGAAAGCTTTCTGGTAAGGATCCACATTTCTAGATGCCTTAAGAACATTCTCGATTTATGAGAGGAAGTAAAAATATCAACATTAACTGGAGTTTGGAAGAAGATTCCAATTCTCATGGATGACTTTGAGGGATTCAAGTCTTCCATAGAGGAAGCAGCTGCAGATATGGTAGAAATAGCAAGAGAACTAGAATTAAATGTAAAGCCTGAAAATGTGATCGAATAACTGCAAGCTCATGATAAAACCTGAATGGATAAGGAGTTCCTTCTTATGGATGAGCAAAAGAAAGTGGTTTCTTTTTTTTTTTTTCTTCCCTTGAGTGAATATTGTGGGGGAAAAGAGGGGTTTCTTAAGATGGAATCTACTGCTGGCGAAGTTACTGTGAACATTGCTGAATTGACACCAAAAATTTAGAATATTACATAAACTTAGTTGATAAAGCAGTGGCAGGTTTTGGGAGGATTGAGTCCAATTTTGAAAGAAGTTCTACTGTTCATAAAATGCTATCAGGCAGCATTGCATGCTACAGAGACATCTGTTGTGAAAGACATCTGTTGTCAATCAATGCAGCAAACTGCATTGTCCTATTTTAAGAAATTGCCACAGTCACCCCAATCGTCAGCAACCAACACCCTGATCAGTCAGCAGCGATCAACACCTTCCACCAGCAGAAAGATTAGGACTCATTGAAGACTCAGATGAACGTTAGCATTTTTTAGCAATAAAGTATTTTTAAATTAAGGTATATATATATTGATATTTAGACATTATGCTATTGTACACTTAGTAGACTATAGCATAGTATAAATATAACTTCTATATGCCCTGGGAAAATAACAAATTCATGTGACTCACTTTATTGTGATATTTGTAGTATTGCACTAGTCTGGAATGGAACTTGCAATACCTTTGACTTATGCCTATATACTAAAAGCATGGCTTTGGATAACACAGAACTACATACATATCCTGGCTCTTCTACTCCCAAGGTAGATAAATGGACAATATTTATCTCGACATCTATAGACCTCTTTTTGCATATCTTTACAATTGAGTTAATAATATATACTCTACAAGATAAGATTGACACTTTCAGGTCTGCCATCATGACAGTTCTTCTCTTAGTAGAGTAATTACAGAAAAATAAAAGTGAAGATAAAACTGAATAACATTGTAAACCCTTCAGGTAGCAAAATTTAATGTCCTTCAAAATTGAATATCCTTCAAAATGTCTCCTCCCTATTGTTTTCAGTCCCCCATTTCAAAAGTCAATTATAAGCAGGCATGGCATGACAGTTTTTCATTTAGCTTTCCGGAGTTCCTATGCAAAACCTCAGCATACCTGCATGCTGTGTAAAAGATACTCCTCTGAGCACTGGAGGAGCTGCGCAGCTGAGCCTAACCTTGAATCACTTACACATCTTCCCCTTTGGTCTAGCAGCCCCATGAACAATCTTCAACACTATCCCCCCCCTGAGACTGGTGGGCACTGCTTCAAGGAGTGTATCCCCTGAATTTGGAGAATCTCTGATAGTCCTGAAAGTGAAGAGAAATGTGCACTGATGCCCCAGCCCAAGTCTCTTGTCTCATATTCTACATTTTCAGAATCATGGACCTACCTGAATACTGCAGTACTCCTGGGATGCTTAAGATGGATTGCCTTTGGCTCCTTGTACTAGTCAGGGCTTGGTCAGAGAAGCAGAACCTCTATATCTATATCATCTATATCTATATCTGGATCTCTATGTCTATCATCTATGTGCATATTAATGAAAATTAAAAGGATTTGTTTTGCTACAGAGATTTGACCATTTGCAATTGTGGGAGGTAGGTAAGCAGTCTCTATGAGGATGTTGTCCTAAGTCTGAGGCTCAGAACTTGAAGTTCAGGTTCATTCTAGACAGGGCAATATTTGTGAAAGTGAGAGAGCAAGAACAAGCTGGAACCCACAGACAAGAGTTCAAGACCACGAAGACGAATGAAATCTGAGTCAGTTCTTATTACCTCTGACCTGATGGTGTGGGTATCTTAAAGAAAGGGGGGTCCATCATCATCAAGCTCAACTCACACACCTGACACAGGGTTTGGAGAAACTGTCAGAAGATCTTGGGGAAGGTGGAGCAGTTGCAGGCTCAGTCACTACCGCATGCTAATGAGGCAAGCCAATAGTTCGTGACAATGACAGCAACTATGTGGGCCATCATATATAAAGCAATGTGTGTTGGGAAAGAAAAATTGCACTGAACGCTTCTTAAAAATGGCAGACATATTTCAGTTGAGCTACTGCAGTGGAGAAGAGACACGTCCATGTAGAACTGAGTTTAACTCTGAATATATCAAAGACAACTGGAGATTTTTAGTCAATGAGCAGAATAAGGGGGTCAGTGGCTGGAAAATTACCAAGATGAACTTGAGTAAATATGGAGGGGGGATTATTGCTAAACTGAGCTCAGCTGGCCAAAGATGAGGCCAAGGCAAGAAGGAAGCTCAAAGGAGCTGACTAAAGTTTGGTCGTGGAGGGATTCCTTGTCAATGTGAACTACCTAAACAACAGCTGTTTCCCTTCTGTGCTCCAGATTTCACACAAGAGTCTTTCTTACGGTCCAGTCCAGCTGAGAAATTTGGAAAATGTGGTTCAGCCTAGCCAAGGTAACAACGACCAAACCACCACGGTCCTCTTTGGTGGCCGAGCTTCTTACCCTAGGCTTACTTTCCTGTTGTGAGATCCAGAGCGTGGGTCGTGGACTCCCTCACTGTCTCCCCTAACGTAGACAGGCAGGTGGGGGATTTATTGGCAGGACAAGGGCCAGCTTTTCCCCCTAGTTCTACTTTGTTTCAGTCTTACGATGAGCTGCCCAATGCTTTCCCCTCTCCAAGGTCCTTGCCCCTGGGACCACAGCGGAGGCACGGTTCCATGTGGGGCATGGTCCCGGTCGTGTTTCCTGAGATCTATGCATATTATTAGTGGACTTTCTTGGATGCAATCAGCCAAAATATAGCTAATATTCCTACAACCAAAGCAAAACCAGTTTCATTTTCACTTACTCATAGAGGACAATTTAGAAATACTTTACATCTGAGGTTTGTATGTGCTCCAGGCTTATGAGCCTTTGGAGCAGGGGTCCTCAAACTTTTTAAACAAGGGGCCAAGTTCACTGTCCCTCAGACCATTGGAGGGCCGTTGGAGAGTGGTGTGCACATTCCACACATGCGCACTGTGGGCCCAGGACGAATCAGCTGCTAAGCAGGGCAGGCAGCGGAGGCAAAAACACTCGGTGGGCAGGATAAATGTCCTCCTTGGGCCACATAGGCCTGCAGGCCATAGTTTGAGGACCTCTGCTTTGGAGATTCCTAGGACAGTGCTTTGCATTGTAAAGGCAACACATGTGAGAGCTACTAAGATGAAAGCTTGTTCAGATGGCTAGGACCCTCCTTCCCTCAGTCCGTGGGGTCAGGCCTTCTCCTGTACCCCTGCTCACAACTTTCTGTGACTACGGCTGCCAGAATGATGAGTGGCTGGTTAAGAGACGGCTCATGTTGCAGGGCATTTCACTCTCTCGCCTTGCTGCTTGGTGTCCAGAGCCTGATACAAGGTAAATACTTTGTTTCCTGAATGCTGAGGGACAAAAAATATGAAGAGGGAAAGAGGTAATGAGAGGATAGTAAGTGAGCTCATCCTCCTGTGTTCATGGGAGGAGGTCAGTATTTGCTTTGTAAAATTGAGTACTTAGAAATAAAAGTATTTTCATATTATTCAGAGCAGGCGTCCTCAAACTATGGCCCGCAGGCCACATGCAGGTGTTTTTGCCCGTTTGTTTTTTTACTTCAAAATAAGATATGTGCAGTGTGCATAGGAATTTGTTCATAGTATTTTTAAAACTATAGTCTGGCCCTCCAACGGTCTGAGGGACAGTGAACTGGCCCCCTGTTTAAAAAGTTTGAGGACTCGTGATTTAGAGTTACACAGGCAACCACCAAAAAGACCTAAAGCCATAGGTAGTTTAAAATGTTTGTTTCCAGCCATAAGAACAGAGATGCATTTGGGAGGCAGTGCAGTAGAGCAGGAAGTTCCAACTTTGCACTATAATCCCTGGCCTCTTGGATTTCCTTTTTTCCATCTGAATGCATTATTTTGGTAATAATTAAAAAAGACAAGTCAAACTAAACCCTTCCAAATAATCTTAGTGTATTGAATATGTCACATATATTCTGTTAATTATTGAAACCAGGCTACATTTAATGAAGGTGGAACAAAAAGGACAGAACTGTTTCATTTCAGAGAATCCACAAAAAAAATCCTTTTGAGCAATACAGGCGGGAAAATTCAGAAATTGTAATATACATAGAATTTTAAAACTCTACAATTACAATGGATAAAGAGAAGAAAATACAGCTCAGGAGAGTGTTTGGATATTACTGGGGCACAAATTTTTTGATCACTAATCTAATTGGTGCAGGGATTTTTGTGGCCCCCAAAGGGGTGTTGCAGTACTGTAGCATGAACGTGGGGCTCTCTCTGTGTGTCTGGGCCGGCTGTGCCGTATTGTCCATGATGACAGCGCTCTGCTACGCGGAGATAGGTATAAACTTCCCATGCAGCGGCTCTAATTACTATTTTATCAAGAGATGCTTCGGCTCCTTGATCGCTTTCCTGTATCTCTGGATATTTGTGTTTGTGGTGATAGGGCTAATCGCTAGCCAAGCCCTGCTCCTGGCTGAGTACGGCATCCAGCCTTTTTATCCCAGCTGCTCTGCCCCAAAGCTGTCAAAGAAATGCCTGGCTCTAGCCATGCTGTGGATTGTGGGAATTCTGACTTCTCGTGGTGTGAAAGGGGTGACTTGGCTTCAGAGAGCTAGCGTAGTGCTGAAAATGTCCATTCTTGGCCTCATTTCCCTCAGTGGAGTGGTGTTGCTGGTGAGAGGGAGAAAGCAGAATGTAGCACGGTTTCAGAATGCTTTTGATGGTGAATTTCCTGATGCCTCCCGGCTTATAGAAGCTGTCTTCCAAGGATATTTTGCGTATTCAGGCGGGGGATGCTTCACATTGATAGCAGGTAATGAACAATTCATTGAGGAAAAAAAATCTCAATCATGACGTTGTATGCAACATGAAATGCATAGCATTTATTGTATTTTGAGTTTTATCTTAACTAAATGATTTAATGTTTTTTTCTTCCTTATGACTTTGTAAATCACGTCATACCAGCCTTGCACTTGTCATCTACTCTCAATTTTTTTCCTGCTTATTCCAAAATACTTATTTGATTGGACAACTTCTCTTTTCCAGCTTTCTTTTCTGGGACAACAAATAGGGGACCTCTGTGTTAATTTAGGTTCCTTTCTGTTAATTGATGGATGCGGGGGTTGGGAAACTATTCCCTACCCATGAAGCTGTAAATGCAGGAATGATCTAGTGCCAGACTGTGTTTGTGTGGTGGTTGGGTGTGACACACTTATTTATTTTGAGGATTATATTTTATTATAACTTATTTTTCTTTCATTGATGAATGTAATGTTAAAGGTTCATGTAATAATACAAATTGAGTTTTGGTTTTGGGGTTTTTTTTTGTTGGTTTTTCTTTTCACTTTTATGGAGTGCTTCATGAATTTGCATGTTCCCCTTGCACAGTGCTAATCTCTGTATCATTCCAATTTTAGTATATATGCTGCCAAAGCAACCACTGATTTTGGAGCCAATTGGCTAAAAATCACATGGAGCATTTCAATTAATGACAAAGCCATAATTTTCACGTATACATTATAAGAGCAGTCATCCTATGGCAATCTTGGATGCTTTTAAATGGCAAATCAGCCAAACTGCAAAGATAAATACTTGGGCCCACCACCTGTAACCATGATTGCAGAATTGTGAAAGAGGCTCCCTGCCTGTCCCCATCCTCCAGACAACAATTCCCTGCACTCCTGAAACAGCAGGACCCCTTGTCCGCAATGGCAGCCCTGGGCAGCAGGTGGCTGACGTGATTGTCCAGGTGGAACAGCACTGCACTGGCTCACTCAGAACCTCAGGGCAGAGCAACAGATGCTGATTTTTGCCTTGCACTTGGACTAGGCTCTTAAGTATTTTTAAAGAGAAGAGAATCATAAATATTCTAGATTGCTCTGAGGCTGGATTTAAAACCCTACACTTCGGTCTCAGAACAAAAGTGTTTCTCTTTTCATTTCCAAAGTCAGTCTCTTCCCTTGAACTCTTTATCCTTTCCCTTCTACCTCTTTAGGACTGTTCACATTCTTTTATTTCATTTTTTTTGCAACTTTAACCACTTTACTAGTTCTTTTTCTTGACATTTAAAAATGAAGTTGTTGCTTCTTGGCCTTTTGGCTAAGATCAAGTATAATATGAAGCCAACTATTGACTCTGGAACAAAATTTTTCTTTAATCTTAGGCCCCTCCATTGATGTGTCTATCATTCATTAAATCATTTGAGCAGAAGCTATCTTTTTAAACAATTACTTATTTTAAAACTCTGTACCAGGGCCTCAAGATGAGTAAGATGTAGTCTTTGCCCTAAGGAGGGCTAAGTCTAGTAGAAGAGACAAGTCCTAGATTTTGTGGATATCTTGACCTCTGCCACTTACTCACTGTGGCAAGTATCTTCTCCTCTCTGGATTATTTTTAATCTGAAAAATGTATGTCATGGTTTAAAATCACTGTAATTTTACTCCTTATAAGCAAATAATGGCTTACAGTGTTTAATGACTAGCCATAAGGAATAATATAACTACTATAAAAATTCAGTAGAAGGAAAGGCTGATTTTCACTATCATCGAGTGGAAAAGGTGGCAATTTGAATGGAATCCAAAAAATTCCATCAGTAGAAAAATAGGAGTGAAGCTGTGGCCAGAAGTATGCAGGGCGGACATAAGACACGGCATGCAGTCTTGGGTGACTGCAAAATGATTCCTTCTGAGGGTCTTGATAATGATACATTTACTAAGGCAATTACACAGAAGAAGAACAAAATGGCATAGGATTGGAGACCAGGACTGGACAATGCCAACTTTTAGGCAGTAATGGAGGAAGAAGACCCAGTGAAGAAGCCAGAGGAGGCTCAGAGAATCATGAAGGAAAATCCCCAGAGGTTCCAGGAAGAGAGGGTAATCAATTTGGGTAAATGCTTCGAAAGTTGAGGAATGTGAGGACTGATCAGAACACTTTCATTGATAAAGTGAAAGGTCCTTGGTGAACTCTGAGCACGAGAGGAAGTCTGTGTGCACTGAGTCAGAGAATAAGGTATTAAGAAAAGAAAGCTGTGAGGAAATTAGTCTTTTATATGGATTGTGATTAAATGGGTCGCTGCAATTTGAGGGACTAGCTGAGCAAAATTTTCTCTCTCTTTTCCATCGTCTCTCTCCTGTAAGGATAGAAGAGATCTCTCTGGCTTTTATTTAGGCCAATTTCAACTTGTTCCATTGCCAGAGATGTTCCATTGTGAGATAATTATTCTCAGCTGCACATAGATTTACAGGATTTACTAACTTACAAGCAATGACGAAATTCCTCACAAGCAGCTGGCAGTAAACTAGAGCTGGAGGAATTTCCATGTGTGCTGGAGCTGTTAATTTACTAAATACATTTTAAGTAACACCAGTTCTAAGTAACACTTTTACCTTTCAAATGGTGATTTGTAGGCAGCTGATGTTGCATGGTGTTGGAATACCCATTTTTTATGTTCAAGACCCAAGGATATTCACTACCTGTCTGGCTATTATAAACCTTTATTATAAATTAAATTCTAATCTCTACCTCCTCTCTATTAATCAAATACATAATGAGAATGAGTAAAAGACCCAGAGGAAAGTACAGTTAATCTGAAAAATTAGCCAGGTGAGTTGGCCTGTGCCTGTAGTCCCAGCTACTCAGGAGGCTGAGGCAGAAGGATTGCTTGAGCCCAGGAGTTGGAGGTCACAGTGAGGTAGGCTGATGTCACAGCACTCTAGCCCAGGCAACAGAGTGAGACTCTGTCTCAAAAAAAAAAAAAAAAAAAAAAAAAAAAGAAAGAAATTTGATATATGTCAAAGGATAGATATTTATTAGTCAGGAAGATTTGGTTTTAAGTTACAGAGAAACCAAGGCACATTAGCTTAACTGATAAAAGGGGAACTTACTGGAAGAATAAAGCTGTGTTTCAAGGAAGAGCTGAGCAACTAATCTTTAGGAGCAACAGGAAATAGGAAAGCTCTAGGAATTAAAAAAACAAGATTTCTCACCCTGCTTTCTTTTCTTTTCTTTTCTTTTCTTTTCTTTTCTTTTCTTTTCTTTTCTTTTCTTTTCTTTTCTTTTCTTTTCTTTTCTTTTTTAGCACCAGTACATTGCTTTTCTCTTGATTCTGTTAGTCTCATTGATGTTTGGTTCAAATTCTTGAGAGAAACGTTCTTGTGTGCTGGCCAGGCTTGGCTTCCCGTGGGTCAGGTGTCCGTGCTTGCTCTACTGCCAGCGGGCAGGGCGCAGGGGCCCCTTGTACACACAGGGTTGCAGATGTTCGTTTCTTTGTGTCGAGGAGTAATTCTCAGAGGATGGCAAAACTGAGGAAAGTGGTGTGACAAATGGGACAATATTTGAAAATAAGACGGTGTTGGAAAATCCATTGTAAATAATACTAAATCAGGATCTCTTTTCTTTTCTTTTTTTTTTTGCACTTAATATTGGCAGGAAAGAATGGTAAGAACCTACAGGGAGAGAGAAGTTATGACGGACTCTTACTCCTTTCAGTAGATGCTACAGGAATATGTAACAAACAGGACACGTTTGCTAGCCAGGGAAGGAGTTTCCTCTCCTATTTCCCCAGAAGAAGTTAGGACTCTGCTGAGATCCGAAGGAAGAGTAGAGGTCAGCTAGGCAACTAGGAAAGGGAAGAACATTCCATATCAGAGCACAGACCCTATGGCAAGGAGGCGAATGATATATTTGAAGAACTGAAAGAGGCCAGTCTGCCTATATGCAAAATGCAGGTAGCAAAGGGAACTATCAAATTGTCACATGATTTATACCCATTGCACTCTTTTTCTTTTCATATGAACACTTACTATGGTCATTATGGTAACTCTTACGTATGTGATTGTTTAACATGTAGCTCCCCTTCTCGTGGTTAAACTTCATGTATATTTTGCTCACCGTGGTCTTCCTATCACCCAAACCCAGGGCCTAGTCCCTGAAAACAGACTCGAATGGTACAGGCCTTTGGGCTCAGATTGCATTTTTCATTGTTATGTCTTTCTTCAGAAATTTTGCCGTCTATGGAGAAAGTGAAGAAAATTTTCCCCTTTTCTTCATTTAGCACCAATTTAGGGGTGGGCAGGTATGTCGCCATCCTCTAACGTGGTGTTATGTGTGTATGCGTGTGTGTGTGTGTGTGCGCGCGCGCGCATGTTCATTTGGTGGTGGTAGTAAAGTGAGTAGGATGAACCCAACCCAATACTGGACACATGGAGCAATTTTAAAGATAAATTTAAAAAAATATTTTTTACCAATGATGACTTTGTTCTTTTATGTTATAGGGGAGCTGAAGACACCCAGAAAAACAATTCCCAGAATCATATTTACCGCATTACCTCTGGTGACTATACTTTATTTACTACTCAACATTTCCCTCCTGACTGTTCTGACGCCCAAGGAAATTATCTCTTCAGGTCTGTACGCACATGGCTAAGGCAGTAAATGAAGTGCTGGTCCTTTCAGCACATCCTAAGTATCACTTTATCAGTTGCCACTGCTGTTTACTGTTCCTTATTCTATATACAGAATCAACCTGTAATTTTCTAAAGTAACAGAGGGCCAGAGAGTATGAATTGGCTTGGAAGGGAGAATCATATTTAAGCATGGTTATACATTTTCTGATAAGATGGAAAGGTGTGTATATAGTGCTGGTGCATGGTGCAGACCAGATTCAAACTATTAGCATTGCTTTCATGATCTTGTCTCACCAGAGAGACAGACACTGGGTAATCAGTCCTTATATCTACTATCACTTTCAAAACATTTGATTCCCAAATGTTCTTCTAGGTGACATCAGGATTGGTAACTTTAAAATGTAGGATATTAGCAGTTAGAAAAGTAGATGCTAATGTTCAGTTCATGCATATAATTAATATTAAAATTAATATGTAAAATAATGTAGTTGTTTATCATAAATAACTCTAAAATATATGGTGGCAAAGGGCCCTGAACATATTGGAAATTTGGCTAAAAAATAACTATCTTATAGAACAAATTATAGAATCAAGAATTAAAGAATAAGAAAATCTTAAATATACAGTTTAGAATGAGTACAGACTCAAGAAATAAAAGGAAATTTGAAAAGAAATGAGAAACAGGGAAAGTGGAAGACTAATAATATTCTCAAACCAGCATTAAATCACCTTCTGAGGTAAATCTATTACTTTTACCTTTAGGGCTAATCTCTTCTGAGCAGTCATTGTTGTTTTGGTGAACCTTGGAGGCACTGGAGGTGAATCTAAAGGAGGTTTTCTTTTTCTCCTTTTTTTTTGGTTTGGTTAGGTTTTTTTTTTTTTTAATTTCAGAATATTACATTTCAAATGTTTTGGTTACATAAATTGCTTTTCTACCGTTAAAGTTCTAAGTGTGCCCATCCCCCAGATAGTGTGCATTGTACCTGTTAGGTGTGAATTTACCCATCCCCTCCTCCCCCCTCTATTAAAACCTCCCTCTAAGGGAGGTTTCAATATGAAGATTCTGATAAACTTATCAATTCTCTCTCTTCTCTCATCCTGCCACACAGGATGCTGCCACTTGCAGCGTTGATTAACAGGGGACTGGGTATCTTAGGGACCTGTGAACTAGATACAGTCAAGATTCTGAGTGTTTGTGGGAACAAACCAAATGCAAAACTGGGTGAGAAGTAGTGATTTATTAACTACCTTGATTATGTAAGGAATATATTGACACAGATAGTGCTGGGCGAGGTCGGGGCTGCTGCTCAGCAAGCTCAGCTGTGGCGCTTCAGTGAAGCTGGTGTCTGCTGTGACTGCCAGTGCCCCGGCCATGCGGGCTGTTAAAACAGTTATGAGTATCTCCTCTGGTGTATCGTGATGGTTGCAACAATTCCGTGGGTGGCACAAAAGTTGTGGCAGGTGTGGAAGACTCATGATGTGTTTTAATCTTAACTGCTTGTGATTTGGTTTTACAGAGCTTACTCTTTTAGGCATATAGTCCTTAGGTTCTTTCTTTAAATTCTGAATTAATGTTTTTGAATCCAAATATCTGCATTTTTATTGTATTAGTGCAATAAAATACAATTTAAATTAAGAAGTAATCAAAAATGTAGGCCAGGCATGGCGGCTCATGACCATAATCCTAGCACTTTGGGAGGCTGAGGCAGGAGGATCACTTAGACCCAGGAGTCTGAGGCTGCAGAGAGCTGTGATTGCACCACTGCACGTCAGCTTGGGCAACAGAGACAGAGCCTGTCTCTAAAAAAATATTAAAATAAAAAAAAGAACCCAGCACATTCCACTTAAAAAATATTTGTATAAGAAAATGCATCATAGCATTACGTATGATAGCAAAAAAATGAAAGATCACCAAAATATCCAATGAGGTTGAAATAAATAATTTATAGAAATCCATATAATAGACCATTCTGAGCTTTTGAAAACATAATATTGTTGATGGATACTTGAAGTAAAGGGACAATATTTATTATGCAATAATGAGGGAGAAAGCAGGATGTATATTATGATAAAAGACAGAAAGTAAATAGTTAACAATGGTGATCAGCTGGGAGGATATTGTGGGTGATTTTTGCTTTATGTTTTTGCTTTTTCTATAATGAATTTTCTTTAATGAAGTTCATAATTTTTATAATAGAAAAAAGTTATAAGCAAAAGAAAAAGAAATAAGTTCTTAAATTAAGAGACTTTAAGGATTAAGGGGTGCATTTTTAAAATCAAACAAGTATATCTAAAAGAAGTGAAAAGTTTCCAAAGGATATAGAGCATCTATGATGCGGTGTGAATAGGACGCTACATTTTATTTGAGGAACACTCAAAAGTATTACACAAAGCTGTGATAAATATTAGATTCTAATACTTATGGTTGACATTGAAAAAGAAACAGTGGTATTAATCACATAATGTTTATGTGCGTGTCAATGTCAGAGCTCTGAATTGCTTCTTCAATTATTTTTCTCTTAGAATGAAAAAACAGCCTTTATTGTGAATAAATTCTATGACTGAGGATGAAAAGGTGTCCCTCTAGAGCAAAGTGTGTGGAAATGCTGTAGTGAGGAGCCCTGGTCCCAGCTTTTAAGCCCGAGGAGTCCAGTGTTGCTGACGCCCTGCCACACGCTCTGGCAGGGGTGCTCGCAGCTGGTGTTCTCGAAGGTTCCATGCTACGTAGGGCAAGATAATCCAACACACTAGATAAATTCTATGGAAACAGAAGCTGAGAAGCTTTCCTTGTCCATAGCAGCTTACAAATAGCTGGTCCCATGTACACAGGGGTGATTAAGAATTTAAAAATAAAGTGGGAATTTTAGAATCACTTCCTGGTCAATTGACGTAATCATTTTTGGAGGTTAATGTTGTAATATCGCCCTTATTTATAATAAAAAAGGTATATATACCTTTGGACTCACAAGTTCCACTTCTAAGAATTTACTGTGAGGAGAATGGCAACTATCAAGGATTGAAGGCACGAGTGTTTTCATTAAAGCATGTTTATATCAGCAAAAATCTGTAAATAACCTACCAATCCATCAATATGGAATGAATAGATAAACTAACTTATAGTTATATTATATAATGGTCCCAAAGTGCTGGGATTACAGACGTGAGCCACCATGCGTGGCCTTACAGTTGTATAATAGAATACTGAGAATGCACTAAAATGATTAGATGAATGCATATGTACCAATATGATCAAGATACATTGGAAAGTGAAAAAAGCGAGTCTAGTGTTTACATGCACACACATGACACAGACATGCAGACCAACCCATATGCAACCCTCACTAATGCTTATATATTCGGTTCGAGGCCAGTCTGAGCAACAGTGAGATACTATCTCTACTAAAAAGAGAAAAAAATTAGCCAGATGTGGTGGTATGTGTCTGTAGTCCCAGCTACTTGGTAGACTGAGGCAGAAGGATCCCTTGAGCCCAGGAGTTTGAGGTTGCTGTGAGCTAGGCTGATGCCATAGCACTCTAGCCCTGGGAAGAGAGCAAGACTCTGTCTCAAAACAAAAAACAACAAAAAAACCCAAAACAAAACAAAACAAAAACAAACAACAACAAAAAAAACCAGTTGCTGGTCTATAGACAAACCTCAAATGTCATAAATACTTTTATTTCTGTGTAATTTATTTTCTCTGTCTACATAGTTCATTTTTCTGTTAAGTATTTCAAATTGCACTATTACGTGAGGAAGGCTCATTCCTGTGTCAGAAGTGTTGCACTGTGCTTCTTTGACCCTGAAGGCAACTATCAATACTCCCTAAGTTAGTTTCAAAAAATAAGCATGCAAACATCCATTCAACAAATCAATTCATTTCACGAGTATTCATTAAAAACTCACTGTACATCTGTCACTGAATGAAGTACTAGTTTTATAGAAAATAAATGAATGATCCTTGCTCTTAAAAAGTTCCTGGTCAATTGGGGAAGACATATGAAATAATAACCACTTATGATACAGGGTAATAGGGTAATAGACACACACATAAGGTGTTATGTAAGTGTAAATAAGGAAATAAACAACAAAATTAAAATTATTAATAAATGTTTAATTACTTTTTAAATTTTCTGATTTGATTTTGAAATAATATTAAAAGATTTATCATTAATATCTCTCTTCTAACACAATTTCTTTTGTGTATTTTTGTCTTTCTGTAGATGCTGTGGCCATCGCATGGACTGATCGAGTTTTCCCCTCATTAGCATGGGTTATTCCTTTTGCTATTTCTGCCTCACTATTTAGCAACCTTCTGATTAATGTGTTTGAATCAGCAAGAGTGATATATATTGCCAGCCAACACGGCCACCTGCCTCTGCTGTTTCATACACTCAATAGCTACTCCTCTCCGTTCGTATCTGTGCTACTACTTGTCAGTATGGGATCCCTTGCCATTGTCTTAACAAACCTCATTGACTTGATAAACTATCTTTATTTTATGGTTTCTTTTTGTTCTGTATTATCAATGGTAGGAATACTAAAACGGAGATTCCAGGAACCTGATATACCTTCACCTTATAAGGTAAAAATGGGCTTTCTTTTTTCTATGTGAAAGGAAAGATACTGAGTGTACGCATATGTAAGAGTATACTCAGAACATGAACATAAATGAGTAGATTTTAGTTTTAACTACTCAACAGTTGCGAAACACATAGAATAATCTAGTCTTGGTTTCAATTTTTATTTTTATTGGATTGGTGTTGCTCAATATAAAATCTCTTAGGTTCCATTTAATGGTTTGTTAGAGAGAAAGATGGTTCCCTGGGTGGTTGGACAGATCATTATGAGTCTTTTGACCAGAGGTTACTTTGTCTACGTATGTAGCTACTTATGCACACAGTGTCTTCCTCAGTCAGGGTCAGATGTAGCAGATGGGAAACAGAAGAGGCAAGGTGAGGTCTCAGGTGATAACCTCGACTGTCTGGAAACAGCAGCTCATCATTGACAAATACAGTCTTTTCAACGTTACTTACCTTTAAACTTTACTTACTTTAAACTGACTTTCAGTCTGGATGAGAAAAAAATTTCACAGGAGAGGAGACAGCCTTTTAGTCATAGAAAAAGAAATAAACAAAAACTTGGTAGCGTAAGCATGTTATTGGAGAAAGGGGGCCTCGATGCTCTGATTATCAGAAAAAAGAATAGTCTTGGTTGGCTAGGTAGCACGTTCAAAGCTTTGCTTGGATGATCACCTTTAGTCCTCTCAGAAATACAAAAGGTGAATTCTACTGTTATTCATTCTTATAGATGAGGAAACAGATTTAGAACAGTTAAGTCACTTGCCCAAGCTCACACAGCATGGAGTGGAGCCAAGGCTGAAATCCAGGCACTCTCTGTGGGGTGTTTGACTCTCACTAAGTACAAAATATAAGAACGATCTCTGGGAGAAAGAAAGCAATGTCCTCATCACCGACTTTGGTTGACTTAGGACCATCCTTCCTTTTCGGTCTTCCCTTTTACTTCTTTCATCCAGCCATTCCTTAACTGTTGTGTATTTGAGTGTTAGTTATTGAGAAGCAACCTTGCTAGGTACTCTGGGCACAGAAAGAGTTAAGACTCAGCTCCTGCCCTTAGGCAGTTTATAATCCATCTGGACAGTCAGGCGAACCAAACACCAGGGTATGATGATCGCTACACAGTGAGCTCCAGAGGATGCTCAGAGAACACGTGGGGGAGGGGATCCGATCTAGAGCAGGGGTGACAGCCGTGGCACCCCCTGGAGGTACCTCCCCCAACATCTGCTGTCCTTGTCGTTTCACACGCTGCATCATTTTTTTTTTTTTTTATGTTTTTGGCCTTCTAGTGACTGAAGAACAGGAAGCATCGTTTTAATGTGTTTCTTCTTTGCTGTTTTCTGTCCCCCACTTTTGTTAGATCACTGACCCTAATTAGACACAATTATAAAGAACTTAATGAATGATGATGGATTTGTTATAACACTAACACATAGTACAAGATAATCATTAAGAACTTGAGCTCAAGTCCAATTGCTTGACTTAGTACTTGAACTTGGTCTTGTTATTTAACCTCTGATCCTCAGTTTCTTCATATGTAAAAGGGTAATGAATAATACCTACCCCCTATTAATGTTGAAGATATTAAATAAGCTAAGGCATGCAAAGAATCCAGGATCTGGCATTGATGACTATTGGTGTTTATTATATTAGTCAACATATATTTGCATTAAAAAGAAAGGCAAGGGCAGTGTTGAATATAAGTGGCTTGTGTTTGCAAGAGCTTTTTTCTCCTCTCTCAATTATTTGCTAGTTCATACTGAGCCATGAGAGAAGTTATGTTTCTCAGGGGTGCTTCACAAACTAAGAGGAGATTATTAATGATTTAAGCACCAAATGAATGACCCTCTAATTAAAGGGTTTCATAAAATGTGACTATCTGTGTTATATGTTTGGGGCATAGATTCACATCTTGAAAGTGACTACCTACTGAATTTTCTCCCTAGATTGGGTAGTATTGTATGGGACCCTTACAATCCCAACACCAAGCAGGTACCAAAGATGGATCTTAAAGGCTTTTTGACAAAACAAAAAATCAAAACCAAAAATAGGAAGATTATCTTGGCTAAAGTTTTTGTCTGGATTTGTTTTGTTTTTTAATATGCTAAGCCTATAATGTCATAATATTTAGCTATTAATATTTACCTGAGTAACAGAGGGCCTTTGTGTTCTTATCATGAACTTATTACTGCCAGGTGGTTGTCTTATCAGCAAGTGGTGACTGTTGTTTCCACTCACGAACAGTCAAATGCTAGATGCTCATTGTGTCCAAACTGACAATGACAGTCTTCAACGTCTCCTTTCACTCAGGCATTTATCTGAGTTCTAAGCCAGGTTTATCTAACTTCATAGCTAACTTAGCCTGTTTTCCATCATTAGCTTATATATTTTAATTTTTTATTATATAAATATCCAGGTATCATATATTAATTTTCATATTTTTTTTTAATTTTGCTCTTTTCAGGTCTTTTTGCCATTTCCATTGATAACAATGGCCATCAGCCTGTGCCTGGTGTTGATCCCACTGTTGAAGTCTCCAAGTTTGCGTTATGTCTATGTACTTCTCTTTGTTTCCAGTGGACTATTGTTTTACATACCTTTGATACATTTTAAATTGAGGTTGGTTTGGTTTGAGAAGATGACTTGCTATTTACAATTACTATTTAATATTTGCATCCCTGACGTGTGTGATGAACAGATGTCAGAAGTACAAACTGTTAAGAAAAAATAGCCTTCAAAAAACATACCAAATTCCAGATAAAGATTAAACACATGATAAAACATTCACGGTGAAATTCCTATGGTAACTCTCTTTTTCAAATGAAATAATGTATATAAAAGTGCCTAGGACACTCTCTGGCTCCAAAATCACAAAAAAATTGTTAAGTATAACTAAAGCTCTGTTTTGTTTGGTGAAAAACTTAAGTCTCATTTTGCATCACTTGATATATTGATGATATCTCTCCCATTCTTCAATTTTTTCTGTATCTCACCCCTCTTCTACTGAATTTGTAGGGATCTTGTGTAAAAGTTAATGATTAAAAATAAAAAAAGCATCCATTGCATCTTTCCTGAATCCTTTTTTTTCAGTACTGATTTGAAGATAAGGAGAATAATTCCATTTGTCTGGTTAGTTTTTCCCCTGAAGTACAAAGAATTTTTTCAAGTGAATAGCTTTTTTAGAAGCATGAGTTTTAATGTTATTTTCCTTTCCACTCAAAGGAAAATTCTGAGGTGCCTTAGAAGAACAACATTACCATATCTTTATTTAATTAAAATGTGACCTATTGGCAAAAATGTTGTTGAGTATGAAATGTGTGGAATAGACGGCTGAGTGGATAGCATCCCAGTAGTCATACTCAGCCACTATCACTCAGTTTTAAAAATTCATCTACATGGGCCAGGCACGGTGGCTCACACCTGTAATCCTAGCACTCTGGGAGGCTGAGGCATGAAGATAACTTGAGCTCAGGAGTTCAAGACCAGCCTGACCTAGAGTGAGACTCCATCTCTACTAAAAATAGAAAAATTAGCCAGGCATGGTGGAGCATGCCTGTAATCGCAGCTACTCGGGAGGCTGAGGCAGGAGGATCTCTTGAGCTCAAGAGTTTGAGGTTGCTGTGAGCTAGGCTGATGCCACAGCACTCTACTCAGGGCAACGAAGTGAGACTCTCAGAAAAAAAAATTCGATTCATCTACTTAGCTTAGAGTTTTAAAGGATCCGGGTTTGGAGATGTCCTTTCAGAAAGCAGACAGGCAATGTGGGAAGGTGTCAGCAACCTTTGTTAGCCGACTCTACCCCTCAGAAGTGGACCCCCACATGTCAAAGGACTTGTCAAGTTTGAGAAGCCATCCCCTGGGTTGATGGTCAACTTTATGTGTCAACTTGGCTGGGTCATGGGGCCCAGAGCTTTGGGGCAAACATTATTCTGGATGTTTCTGTGAGGACATTTTTTGGGCGAGATTAATATTTAAAGTGTTAGACTTTAAGTAAAACAGATTGCCCTCTCTAATGTGGATGGGCCTCATCCAGTCAGTTGAAGACCCTAATAAAACAAGGACTGACCTCCCCCAAGCAAGACAGAATTCTGTCAGCAGATGGACTTGAACTGCAACATCAGCTCTTCCATGGGTCTCCAGCCTGATGGCCACACTGCAGATTTTGGACTCACCAGCCTCCATAAGCATGTGAGATAATTCCTTTAAGTAAATCTCTCTCTCTCTCTGCATATACACATCCATTGATGTGTTTCTCTGGAGAACCCGAATACACCTGGCTTTCTCACCCAACTTAGATGCCCTGTTCTTGCTTGCTAAGGACCACCCCTCCCAATTATTTATACCTCATCCCTTTTGGGCATATGGTTAGATTATTAAAACTGAAACAATAACATATTCAAGTTAGCAGAATAATCTACTTATATTACTTACTTCCTATGACAGTTATCTTATGTGGATCTCATGACTGAACATTCCTTTCCCATAAACCTCCACTACATTTAGACAATTGCCCAACTTTCCTCTTCCTAGGAGATTTTAACACCCAGTATGTGGCAAAATAATTCCTGAGCTTAGTTCCATAGAAGTCATCTTCATATTGTAGATTCAGGATCAGAGCTTCAGAGTCTAGAGACCTGGAAGATATTTAAATTACAAGTGAGAATAACCACAGGTTTAACTGATATCAGAATTAGAAGTACTTCTGCAACGTAACTTGGCCACTTATGCTTGTATGCTCCCAGGGGTGAAGGAATCACTACTTGCTAAAGACACTGGTCATACCTTTGGACAGCTCTGGCTTTCTGGAAGATTTTCCTAATAATATAAAGCTGCCATGTAATTTCTAAGTATTGGGTAAATCTAATCCTCTTTTTCATCACATCTTTTCAGATATTTGGGGACAGCCATCTCACGGCTCTGAGTCTTTACTTTTCCAGACAAAACTCCCTAGTATTCAGGAGTTGCTACTTTTGCAAATCTTGATCTCTCCACTCCTTGCCAGGCCCCTTTTTTATATAAAGATACCCCAAATTTTTATTCTGTAAATGATGCAGTTTTTTCAGACATGATCCGACTATGGTAGGGGACAGCTGAGCTATAATTGCCTTTCTTCTAAATATTATAGGTTTATTCACTGTTTTGGCACCAATATACACTTACACTGCCTAAGCCTTTCCTGTAAATTATGGCTGAGACATGCCTATTATAAGACTGGGTGAGATACCACCTAGGCAAGTCTTTTGGGTCAATACAATTTCTCAGGGAAACTTGTGTTCTACAACATGATAATAAGAAATTGGCTAATTGTAGCAAATTATTTTCATCTGATCCTTCTTAAATGCTGCAACCTCATCTCCTCTCCCAGGTATATTTAATTCCAAGGTGCATGATGCTTTGGAGCACCCTATGGTGTAAATCCGCTTGTTTCTCAGCTTCTACCGTTAGTTTAGAGATCCTCTATCTTGAGTCTGCTAAATCAGTTACCTTTCATCCATTCACTTTCTGGTTTCAAAAATTTTGTTGCTCTATATTTTTCCTCTTTCCTTGTGGAGTTATTTATTTTAAAATTTCCTTTATTATAGTTTTAGTGGGAATCCAGAAGAGGGGACTAAAATAGATGTTTCTTAAATCTGCCATCTTAACCTAGAAGCCTAGGAACTTTCAATACATTTAAGAATTTTAAAAAAATGTGTTGTAAATATTTTTTATTTTGGAGACAGAGTCTCACTCTGTTGCCCAGGCATAGCTCACAGCAACCTCAAACTCCTGGGCTCAAGCAATCCTCCTGCCTCAGCTGCCCAAGTAGCTGGGACTACAGGCATGCGCCACCATGCCCGGCTAATTTTTTCTACATATTTTTAGTTGTCCAGCTCATTTCTTTCTATTTTTAGTAGAGGTGGGGGGTCTTGCTCTTGCTCAGGCTGGTCTCAAACTCCTGACCTCAAGCAATCCTCCTGTCTCTCGGCCTCCCAGAGTGCTAGGATTATAGGCATGAGCCACGATGCTGGGCCCAAGATTTTTTTTTTTTTTTAACAAATAATATGCCAGTCAAGAAATCTGAATTGATAATACTAATTACTCTCAATAAAGTTTAAGGGAAGGGTGTTGAAAGAGATTTGACTTAAAAAGTTTTGTCTCAGTGATCCCAGTTGTTTTTAAACAAAAATATAATAATTATCCTACATTTCCTTCTTATGTTTTCTGGTGTTGTACAATATTTCCTTCCCTTTCAGTGGGTACCACACCTTTAAGTTTATAGCTCGTTCAAAATTTCTATGTGAGTTAGAGTTTTATGGAAGATGGTATGTCTTGGGGCAAGCTAGAAAATTCTTTATCACATGGAAACTATGAGCAATTTGGTGTATGAGGGAGACCCTATTGTTTGCCCCCTTCTCCCTTGCTAAGAGAAAACTAATTTTATTCAGAGAAATGGCAAAGTCATTCCCAGCTCCAGGGGATGAATCATAAACAATCTTAGCCAAGTACTGTAACCCGTGCTCCTTACCTGTGATTGGCTTTGATGTAGGCAGGGGACCCAGTTTTTGCCAATGAAATGTAAGGAAGAGTCTAATGTAGTTTATAAGAAAGATTGTCCTCCCTGACGAAAAGACAGAAACCAAAAAAAGTGCTCTATCTTTTCCTTTCTTGGATTTTGTCATGCAAATATGTGATGGTGGAAGCTGTGCTGGCCATCTTGTGACCCTGAGGCACAATCAGGAGAACCATGGAGAAACAGAGCCCTCATGTTATTTAGCTGCAACCTTAGCCAAGCCTGGAACTGCCTGCTTTCAAATTTCTTTTCTTTTATTTTCTTTTTTTTTTAGACAGAGTCTCACTCTGTTGCCCGGGCTAGAGTGCCATGGCATCAGTCTAGCTCACAGCAACCTCAAACTCCTGGGCTTAAGCAATCCTCCTGCCTCAGCCTCCCGAGTAGCTGGGACTACAGGCACGTGCCACCTTGCCCGGCTAATTTTTTCTGCATATTTTTAGTTGACCAATTAATTTCTTTCTATTTTTAGTAGAGATAGGGTCTCCCTCTTGCTCTGGCTGGTTTTGAACTCCTGACCTTGAGTAATCTGCCTGCCTCAGCCTCCCAGGGTGCTAGGATTACAGGCCTGAGCCTCTGCACCCTGCCTCAAATTTCTTATGTGACTTAATTGAGAATTTTTCTACTTTAAGCCAAAAATAGTGGGTTTTTTTGTTTATTTTTTTTTTGTATTTTTGAGATGAGATCTCGCTATGTTGCCCAGTCTGGACTCACACTCTGACCACCTCAGGCTGCCAAATAGCTGGGATGTGCCACCATGCCCAGTTAGGTCAATCTCTTTCAATTTGTTTTGTCCTCTATGAATTAGAGTTAATACCTACCACTTAGGGTTTTTATGACAATTGAATGAGATAATATAATCAAAAATTGTTTAAAAGGGGTTTTCTCAGTGTTTGGCATGTGTTAACTCTAAATGAATGGTAATTAGCATTATTTTAAATTAAATAAGACCTCTATTTTCTTTTATTTTAATATCTATCTTAATAACAACCATCATTTGGCCTAAAGAGTGTATAAATTGGAGAGACATGCACAATATTTTTTTTACACATTCAATATCTGGCACATAGTAAATGCTCCATAAAATTTGAAAACAAGTAAACATACATAGTACCTATGTAATACATTTTTACCAAATGAATAAATAGAAATAAATGGGTGAGTGAGTGAATAAATGAGTGTCAATAGTTTCTAGTGATTAATGTTTTCTCTAAACAGCTAGAAGAAACAGTAGCATGGTATCCAAACAAATCCCGGGGAAAACTCAACAGATATAGTTCCTCTGGAGACCTCAGGATAGCACAATAAGTAGCAAATATGAACCATCCATAGAACATTGTGTCATGTCACTTGCTACTGATAAAATGTTCCATTGCACCATGGGAAATTATCCTGGAGTCCCTCATGGGAAATCTCTCTGCATTGTATTAAAGACAGACCTGTCTTCTCGCTTTATCTGGGATTTCATCTGAGAATCTTACTTGTGTAGCATCAAGTTTCAATTTATATAATACACATTTAGCATTTTGCCATAAACAAGACTCATTGAAACGAATGGAATGTGCTGGAGAGGTTTCTACAGAACAAGGTGTTCCTTGTAAAAGCTTGTGGCCTCTATAATTCTCTTCTCTTTCTGTACTGATGGGCACTAAGCAGGATTCCAAGTAGAATTGCATCATCTATTGGTTGCAATCTTATCACA